CGGCGGTGGCGGCCGTGCTGCGGAAGGTGATCTTCAGGTTGGGCACGTGCTGCTCGCCGGCCCAGTCGAAATTGAAGATCGGCGCGTCCGAGTGCAGCTCCGAGTCGGGTGTGTTGACCGGCGTGGTGGGTGTGGTGATGTACGGGCTCAGCTCCTGGTGCACCACGTCCGGCACCCTCTGCAGCGCGTCCGACCACGCCGGACTGGCGCCCCAGCTCTCCAAGGTCGCGCTCTCGGACGGTTCGGCGGTCGAGCCGCCAGCAGCGGCGGTGGTGCCCTGGCCAGAGGGTGACGGCGCGACGAGCGTCTTCGAGGCCGGCCGTTTGTGCAGCAACAGGCTGCTACGCTCGGGACAGCAGTAGTCCCGATCGAGATCGGTAAGGTAGTACTTGTTACTCGGCGACAGCATGTCTGCACTGCTCGCGTACTGGCCGTGGCACTGCACGAACTTGGCTCGGTAACCGGCCAAGTGCAGCGAGCTCTTGTGATATTGCTTGTGGTACCTCACCGGGTCGTCCAAAGTGTGCTGCTGCTGGTGCACCGCACCGTGCACAGCTCGGTTTGACACCTCGTGCTGCTGCTCCACGCCGCTTATCGACATGTCCACCGGCTCTGCGTCGTCCCGCAACAACAGTCGTCTACTGGGATAGTCCATCGCTTGTGCAGTCTTGGCGTCCGTCTCAGTGTGGTCTGCGCGTAGCGACGGAGAGTGCTGGGCGTCGTGAGGATACGTGGCGCGGACATAGTCCTGCGGCTGATTGCTACCGGCGGACGGGTACAGGCCAGTGCGACCTTGACCCCCGGGACAGAGTCCGTAGGTGAACTTGGTCTGGGAGGAGTACTGATACAGCCACGAACTCGAGCGCATCACCTCCGCCTCCTTGTCGCTGCAACAGTTACGTTCGTATGTGTGTGTGTGCACGCGTGACGAGACGCGCTGATCGGAAATGAAGTTCGTTTCAGGACTGAGAAACTCGACTGTAGTCGGATCTCTCTCTCTCTCTCTCTCTCTGATTTAACGTGTCAGCGATGAAACGTACGTGAGAACTTGATTCGTGCAAACGATAATGGGATGCTGACACTCGTCGGAGGTGTCCTTGACCTGCAGCACACAGTGGACCCAGAACCACCTACCGGAGCGACTCTGTAGCCTCAGCAAGGCGGTCGTGGAGCGTTCCTGATCGGACTGGATGACTGAAATTGGAGGGCGGGGCGGGGGATATTTCAATGAGACAATAGAAGAGGGTCTTTTTCCGAAGTATCGTCGCTGCGAACTTCGCTCGTGGAAGAATCACGCGAGAATCAGATCGCACGGTAAGCGGATTGTCCAATCGGCGAAGGGACTCTTCACGATGAAGACACTTACCGGTCTGATGTTTGCAGTAAGCCGTCCTTATGGAGTCCCAGTGAAGCATGTTATACCAGGACACGTTGACCAGCTCGGCGCGACTGTACTCCAGGTGACTTTCCGCGCTGCAAACAGAGATTTCCATTTACCAAGGATAAGAGGAAATCATCTGTCGGGAAAAACGGGTCCTTGATATCGCTCGAGACGTTACGTTTTGTCGATATGCAGATACTTCATGTCCATCGAGTGGATCGTGGTGAAGATGTTCGTCGCGCCCTGGACGATGCTCTCGCGAGTCTCCGGCAAGACCACTGGTGTGCAGGAGGCCAGGAATACGAACTCGTTGCGGTTGCAGACGGGAACGAACGGCAGGAAGTGACCCTCTACGAGGACCACCTGCGAACAGAGAAAACGCGGAGGATGTGACGGATGTGCGAGGGGCAGGACGGATCATCGTCGCCGGAGAGAACAATCGGCAGTTACGCTTTAATCACCTTCTGGTCCCCGAAGCGCAATTGCCGGCGGGAATTTCTCGACACGTTGATGCGACAGAGAAACAGCCGCCTATCGCTGGGAACCGGACTGTTCCTCGACAACTGATTCTGCACCACCATGTGATCCTGCTTATCGATCACGTCGTACACGCTGTCCCCGTGAATGAGTAAGTCCTCCTGAAAATCTTTCACCTTATCACGACTTGTTTGCGGGTGGTACGCATATGCGGCATCGGTTTCGTTTCCTAGTCGCGGTACCGTCGCTATCATTCGGCCGCAATTACGCTATTAACGAAATTACTTTACCATGGAATGTCCGAGATAGTCCGCCGCGTTTTCTGATATGTATAACAATTTCCCTTGCTGCGTCATCATCATGATGAAGCCGGACATCGCCTAGAAAATATCGTCGAATTGTATCTCGAGAATTCGCCGTGAATGAGATGACGAGTGCGCAACGTAATGGAATGAAAATAATACCAAAGTAATCGACGCATAAGTGAAAAATGTGAAAATAATTACTTTCGAAAAGCCTATATTGGGTGTCGGAATATTCGAGGACTCGGACGGGCAGTTTTTCAATGCTGAAACGGAAAAAAACAAGGATCAACGTATCGGAAAAAGGAAAAACGTGTTCTGTGTAAAGAGAAAGAGAAGAGTGAATCGAATGTACATTTCGTTGTTTGTAACATTCGTCGGAAGAAACTATATTATATATGTCGACTGTACATCAGCGAGAAAAGCCAAAGGAAAAAAAAGAGAAGTAAATCGCTGTCAATAAGTATTGCAATGTAGGTTTACTGCCGGCATGAGTGTGATAGGCGGGCTGTCGTTATTACTATTTCCATTTTACGCAAGGTGAGAAACGCGCGAATGCACTCGATAAGTTCGTGAGTCTATCGCGGTCGTAAAAAAAGCTGTTTTCAGCCGCATTCGCGATCGATATCCTGGAAATATGCGCGAAAATTCGAGAGAGCGTGCGATGAAAGCGGACGGGGAAAAGGGTAATAGAGAAAAATAGAGCAACGAGCATCTGGGAAGCGCTATCAATCCCGGATCGAAATTGACTTCCATCGACGTTGATTCAATTTAATTTCTCTTTCATTTAATCCGATCGCTCCTATGACTTTCCATCTTTTTTTCGCGACCAAAACACCCTGTATCGATTCCTCGTTCCTTGTGCGCTATTCTTATGCTTCATCGTCTCTCGGGGCCTTAATCGCGCTCGGGGCACGCGCGGTGGGCCCTTCAACGTATCGAGAAGAGAGATGCCCATTTCAATCTCGTGCTTTTTCGCGCGATCGCCCGCGCACTCGCCACCCTGCTCTCTCGGAGGGTTCCCCGAAAAAGTAAAGGGAAAAAGATGTGCATAGCGAGTGAAAGAGAGAAGGGGAGAAGGAGGGAGAAAAAGAAGAAGAGAGAGAGGGAGAGAGAAGGGTGGGGGGAGAGAGAAAGAGTGAGAAAGAGAGGAAGAAAGAGGGGGAGAGGGGTAAGGAAAAATGCGTATGCTAATGCAGCACGGCAGCGTTTACTAACGGCGCTACATGGGACTACAGTACCCGATACCGCGAGACAATGAGCGCGAGAGAGAGAATATGAGAGAGACGGATAGAGAATAGGGGGAAGGATGGGGGCAAAGGTAGGAGGAGAGAGGAGAAGAGGAACGCGAGAGGAAGGGAGGCTGAGGCGGGCTGCGAGAAAAGGAACGACAGAGAGAGAGAGAAAGAGAGAGACGCGTTGCGGCGGAGGGAGGAGGGGGAGTGTGGGTTACAGGAGCGTGAGAGTGTTGTTGCAAAGGCCGACAGGTCAGCGGATCACCCGGAACTCGCGCTTAGACTCCGCTGAGTTTGAACGCGCGCCGATCTTGCCTTCTTGCATCGTTTCGCTTTGCTTTGCGCTCGGGCTCGCTACGTCTCTCCTCTCCTATCTTCTCTTCTTACCTCTCTTCTTTCTCTCCTCTCCTCTCCTGTCAACTCTTTCTCCTTTCCATCTCTCTCTCTTTCTTCGAGTCTCTCTCGCTGGTTCTCCGCTGTCTCTCCCTACGTCTACGAGAAGCTTTCAGCCGGGTTACCCGACGGACTCCCGGTCGAATAGAAATTCTCCTCCGCGCTGTTTGAGCGGCTCGTCAGCCGATTACGAGAACGCGACGAGGGATTGATGAACGTGCACGAAAAGCGCGGAAAAGAGCGACGACAGGTTCTCCGAAATCAACGTCGGGGCGGGGGAAGGGGGCCGATTTTGATCGATGACGTGAGGGTGACCAGCTGATCCTTCGATCGAGAGAATACATCGCGAATGCATATTTCATGCATTGATCTTCCCTGATCGTTTATTAATAAATAATTCTCTATCGTGGGATTTTTCAGGAAACTTCCTGGTGATAACGACGTATTCTTTGTCACCACGTCACGAACTTTCCTATGAAACTTTTGCTCTTTCATCACCATTTTAATTATCCTTAATATGATTCTTCACGATAAATAAGTAGATATTGTTATTAACAATAACTATAACATTCCGCCGTATTCCGTATTTTTTATTCGACTTTTTCCAGCTGGTCCGCATTTCCAAGATATCGTTCGATATATCGAGTACAAAAGTAACAGAAGAAGAAAGATTTTTAGGTATTGCGAAGGCAATTGATATAATTCTAGTATGAGAATACGAGGGAACGATTTGGCTATTCGGCGTGCTTCATGCCACGCTCTATACAATGTGGCTCGATCATTACGGACAACTGGTACGGTACGTTGAGTACCACAACGTGCATTCTGAAATATCAGAGTACAGACGCGGGGAATTGCATAGCACGCTCGCTTGCCGGCATTGAAGTCTCGGCCGATGGATATGAATTATTGTAAAGATATAGTAATCGCGATACCGATATATCGACTCGCTTTATCACCTATTTCCATCCTCATTTTATGGAGTAACAAGTCGGATGCAATGTAACTCACATGTATATCGTGTATCACCTGTTGGAGAGGGTCGATATTAAAATAAAAACGCGTTCTAATACAACGCGTCAAACTCGCGTCGAGCGATTCGAGAATCCTCGATCGTATGGTCGCAGAATCATTTTCAGATTCGACCCTAGCGTCTGATGAGCTAAAATTACAAATCCCACGCAACATGTTCCTTCATTGAAAAATTGGGAAACTCGGGAAAATTCAGGAACATCTCTCCTCGTCAATGTTTCAAGTCGCATCTTCGCGCGACTTCGTTTCTTTGCGGAAGCTTGCCGAGCTTCCGCCGCGCGGACGAGAGGTCCTCCCGCAATCGCGACGTGCGAGAAAGCTCGAGAGAAGGCACGTGCAAAAGATTCGCCGTTCGTGTACCTTGCTGAAAGTAGTTGGCTTTTCGCAGAAACACGCAGACCAAGGCCATAAGCTGCAGCTGGGAAAGCCTCTGGCGCGTCGAGGGCGGTAACGGCAGCAAATCACGTAGATTCGCGATTTCGGCGTTTATCAGGTCCCTTCGAAGTTTGCTGGCGCCTTTCGTCGACTTGCTCGCATCTATCCTTCAAGCACACGCTGACGTTACCTGACGTGTTGTGCTGCACGCGCGCGTGCAACACGTGCGTGCCATACGACGACGCAACGCAACGTCGCCGTGACGAGACCGTTTGGCAACATCCACACTATCTGTCCACACTTGAACATCTCGAGACGAACTCGCTGTCCCCCCCCCCCCTGTACTTGAGCGAGAATCATACCGGATTGTCCGGAAATTCCACCCCGCTGCGACTCCGCGTGTCGGCGAACTCACCCCCGCGGGATGAACACTATTGACCGATTGATTCGCCGTTTAATTCAATTTCTCGAATCATTAACATCATTCTTGTCGACCGCAGATTGTCCCGAGGCCGATCTCGAGGTATCCCGCTGGTTTACCTAACGCGACACACCGTATAATCTCGGGACGGGTGGTCCTCGCCGAAGTACCGGGGCGACAGCTTCACGACGACGGCGAAGTGGACGACGACGACGACGTTGGTGCCGCCGCCGTAACTTACCGATTGAACATATTTCGGTTGCCAGGAGGACATCAGTGGTCGATTACCGAGGTGGACAACGAGCGGGACATCCGGGTCGGCAGGTTCTCGCGAAACTGCGGCTACGATCTAACATCCGGGTCATAACGCGCTACTACACTGAACACGTGGATACTGGCGGAGGCTGGTTCTCCTACCACCATCAACATCAGCACCACCACCTCCTCCTCCTTCTTTTTCTCCTCCTCCTGCCTGCACCACCTCCGCCTCCTCCTTTACCTCTTCCTCCTGCCCCCATCACCTCCACCTTCATCGTCCACCTACTACTTCTTCGTCTTCGCCGCCTCTCTCCCTCTCTTTCCCTCCCTCGCTCGCTCGCGCACCGAGGTCCTCGCTCTTCCTCCGCGCCAGGTAATCCCTCGGTCCTGCTTTAACCTTCGCTCGCTCTGTACTTTGCTCGCTCGCTCGCAACCCGCGGCTCTTAGGTCACGATCGAGAGCGGAGTCCCTGTCCCTCTACCACCGCCATCATCGCCACCACCTCCGCTACCGGTTGCGTCTCTCTCCTCTGCATGCGGTTTCTGCCCGCGGCTCGCGACTATCACGGCTCGACGCCGCACGGGACGGCTTGGGAAATTTTCGGGAATTATTGTGCAATTCGACCGCCAACCGGGCTGCGGTCGGACATTCGGTCGGTTAGTAGAAGGACAAATGAAAACACACTGCCATTAGGGGAACTGCGCGCTGTGGCGAGCGTCTTGGATTATTAAAATTGTACGGAGCGTTTGTTAGCTGGAGTCTCGGCATGAAAGATTAAATAATAAAATGAACACGATGGAGAGAGAGAGAGAGAGAGAGAGAATTATGAACCGTGTTTTTAAGTTATGGAGATGTGTTTGATAATGAAAATAAAAATTTGGTTTATATATAAGAGCAATTTTTTATTTTCATTAGTAGTGTTACAACATTTATAATTGTATAATGGTAGGTAAATTTGAGTGTATGAGAATATGTATTGTATAAATAAATAAATATATAACTCAGATCCAAACTCGATGTCATTGCACTGTTATAGGTAAAAATTGAGGAGTCAATTCTCTCGATCATGAAGAAATGGATAAAATTGAATGGCTCCAACTTTGGTCAAATAATGATAACGAGAAAATTTGGGAAACGTTATACGATGTGAAACCTTCAGTTTTCAAACATGTCATCGAATATAAAGTTAACTTATGTTTTACGACGTTGCACAATTATAAATCAAGATCCATAAAGTGCAAATATTTCTGGTAAATTTGGTCAAGTTGCAACGTATAAACAAAAAATTGATAACGTACAAATAATGTTCGTATGGTATTCATTTAATAGAATATATCCCAGTAAATACCAATCAACAATAACCTAACATTGTTAATGTTATTATTATTATTACCCATTCAACAACATAACTGTTATATAACGCGTTATTTTGTATTTACATTGTTGAATGGGAAATTATAACATTGATATTATGTTACTGTTAGTTGATGTTCATTGGATACCCTTCCCTTAATTTATATATTTGCATATAAAGATGTGATTTGTTTACCGCAATCACAATGCCAATTCTTACTTAATTCGACTTGTCTTTATGGAGAACAACAACAATGTAATTAATATAATATGTCTAATAACTAGAGACTTCAAGCTGCAAAATGCTTTTCGAACCATCTCGCTGTCGTAATTTTTGTTGAAGTAACAGACCGTTCAATTTTGCCTACTTTTTATAATAGAGTAAACGCGTGTCTTACCTGTCGTTGAGTTATACCACTTGAAAATAAAAGTACGTCGGACTTGTTACGGAGTTGTATCACGACCCCAATTTGAGATTGAATATGGTGGCGGCTTGTAGCGAATACTTTGGTCCCATATTCTCAATTCATTCATATTCACTTTTATTGATAAAAGTGCTTCTAAAAGTGGCTTAGAAACCATCAGCCTGATTTACTGAGAAGCCACATTTAAGGCACTTTTATCGATAAAAGTGAATTAAGAATATGGGTCTTTAGAATTAATAAAATCAACGGGTCTATGAGAAACGGGCCAAGCCGCTAGACTGTTTAGACCGGTTAACTGGCTGCCTGGCGCCACCTAGTAGTGTCGCTATGAACCCGGATGACGCGGAGTTCGAACCTTTGTTAGTTGGTTTGAATCTTTGCTGAACAACTTTTCTTACTAGTTTCAAAGTCTCCGCTACGAGCCGCCACCATTTTGTCCTCCGCACAGATATATTTAGTTAAATGAGAAATTCTCACTCCATGATGAATTACGCTACTGAAAAGTGACGATCCTTCAATGTAAACTGTGTAACGTCGAATTGGAAAATCATCAAGGCAAGAAATAAGACATCGAGAAGACAATCGATTCTTCAACACAGTAAAAGTCGAGTATCGATTCAACGGTCGAACAGCAGCCATCTAGAACTCGAGGCAAACCGATGGCGTGGCCGTTGTTCAGCGTACTTGACTGTATTCATTCCACAGTGAATGCCTAGAGAGGTTGTGCCACTTGCACGAAAATGACGGCGCACGATCAAATGCGAGCTATGCTCGACCAGTTAATGGGCACAGGACGAAATGGTACTCATTTATTTGTTTCTACGCCGATTCTGCGTTAACGATCGAACACGTGTTGTAATTTCGGGAAACGAGTTCAACAGATATTACAGAACGGTTAATCCCGCGGCCATATTCTCGGGCTATCCTAGTAGTGCTACCCTCTATATATATATATATATATATATGTGTGTATATATATTTCTCTTTTTCTTTTCTTATATATCCTCACGCTCTCATTATTAATCACAATTGTGTTTTTCAGGGGAAAATAACAAATTTCAAGTGAAATACTCCGACTCGAAAGTCTGCAAGAGTTTTTTGCTGGCCTGCTGCCCACATGAAATCCTCTCGTCGACGGTGAGTAATTTCTAAATCAGAGGTATACAAAACATATAAACGACACACCATTGGCACTTGCGCGCAGATAATGCACCCTGTATATATATATACAAGCGGATAATTTCTGATATTTTTTAATCGGAATGCAAAGTGAGAAAGTAATGGCCATACTTGATTTCGTGGTATCTCCATATTTGTTTCATTTTGTAAAAGTTCAATTTAAGTTGATTACACGATTCACTGGTCAATTCTTTGGCCGATGACACTACGCTGTTAGAAAACAATAAAATTATAATTGATCAAGACTGTGGACTTGTAATCAACTACACATACTTGATTGACCTGGATCTTAAGTTTTAAATGGACCAATATCATGATAAGTTGAGATATACTCTCTACATATGATATGCGATGAATAAGTAACATGAATACTGTTGATTATCTGTTTCTAAGATTAATATTTTAATCTTATATTGGAATAAATTTTTATATTTAAAATGAGGTTGGTGTCGAACGTGATTTATTGTGACACAATCGTGTAATCATTCTTACAGTATGTGTATTTTGAATAATTAAATACCTATTTCTCATATATATATATATATTCACACACACACACACATACACACACACACGTACAAAAAACTACACATTCATCAAACAGTCTGTGTGTACAAATAACATTGTTCAAACAAACAAGTGGAAAATAACATAAAAAGCACAAAATTAAAATGGAGCAAATTTCTGTGTTCTTGTTGAACACGCTTATATTCTTTCTCTTTCGACTAGATTATATTATTAATACATTATATTTATATGTATAATATTGTTCCTTTTCCTCACGAATTCCGAGACAATCTCTTCTCGTGACAAAAGATCGAGTTGAATTCAACACGCAGCGTTCAATTATATCTCGTGTGTTTTGCGGCTCGACAGTGGAATTAATCCGTCTGTCCGTCTGTAATCATCTCACTGAGCAGGTTCATTTTACCCGATGTAGCGTCTATTTGCTGTGCTCACTGAGTCAGACCGTGTACGTGATAAAGTCTACATTAATGGCATAAAGGGTATTCAATTGATAACGGAAGGCAGCGTCTATACTTCCATAACGCTTCGCCCGTGATCGTAGATCCGAATGCACACCGACTCGTTTAGCATTGCTATACATTATCTCACACACACACACACACACATCGTACAGTCTATATATTTATATATATATATATATATACATATATATGTCTTATATACTTAATGTTAAGTAGAATACGTTCTAACTGTAATGTAGAAATCGAGAGAAGCATATGCTCACACATGTACGTATTGAGTACCTTTGCGAGTCGGTGCTCGAGGGAACGTGAGCCTCTTTGCACACACATTGTTGAGACGCTATGTCAACTATGTCCCAGTAAAAAAGAAAAACTAGCAAGTGTTACGTGTAACAAAGTTCCGGTGCCACGCACAGACACATAGAAGAGCTGAATAAAGACGATAGAAGCTATGCGATGCACGACGCCAGATAGAATCGTACGCTCGAATTGTCCGCCTTCGGCGTTTCTCTCCTCACCCTTTTTCACCTGTGCCAATCGGTGTGTCAGGCTCCTCGGTATCGTTGAGCGTTCGAGAAAATTGTAGATTGTAAGATGACCGACCTTTGATCGAATTTACGTAAACGAACGTAACACGGGGGGAGGGGACGAGGAATTAACACGCAGAGAAGCGCCCTAATCCCATTTTCTACCCCGCGACGACACGTGTCGACCTCAAGGATTGACATCACGATCGATTCACACTTGATACCGTCGAAGTGCGACACACAGGGGGAGCGGGCGTTTCTGTCAGATACACAAAATCCCGATTGCAGGATTAGAACAGCCGACGTGAATTTCACGGCTCGTGCGGAACGGAGAAGCGAGAAAACTGCGAGATGTCCTCGGAAATATCCGTTTTTTTTTCTCTTTCTCTCTCTCTCTTTCTACCTCTTTATCTCTTGGGATTCTCCTGTACTGTCGAGCCATGAAACGACGTTGCTCGTTCTAATTTTCATCCGTACATACCAAATATATATATGTATGCGTACAATGAGAGAGAATACTTATATGTACACACTGCAAGCCCCTGTGGCAGTGAAATTGGGAAGCGCAGGCGGCCGTATAAATACGGCTCAGACGAGAGGCATCGTCGTGATGCGTGTTAGATCGAGCAACATTACATCAGACGACACTGTACTACCGCGCTTTGATTATCGATCGCGTCGACTGTCAACCGCGAACCGTTAACGCAATGAACCGTCAACAGCGCTTCTCGATGTTACCCCGCGCGAATCGTCCGACGGTGGGTGTTTGCTACCACACCTCGACCGTATTCACCCACATGTAGTAGCCATCTCGACTGCTCTCGCGCGAATCTCTGTTTCTCTGGGTGATTCAATCGTCAGCCGAACTTCAGTATCTTACGAGTCTATCTCTAGCGATGAAACAAAAATCACGAAGCAACGAACGACGAGGGCGTCCGGGGCAATCGAGCGTTTTATCGCGGTCTATGACGGGGAAAAAGTTGTGCCCCCTCCCTCACTCTCGCAGCTGACTTAATGCGCGGAAAGTTTCTCGCTCGAGAAGTAACGCCGCGGCACGGGGGAATGTTTCCTTAATTTTTAATCGGTCAGTGTTTTCAATTGTCGTCCGCAGATGCGTGGGAATTTACATAAGTATCCGCGCGTGCGCCTGTTGCCGACGTTGATCGATGTCGGAGAATCCCGGTGAGGGTACTTGGAGGGTTTACAGAACGGCTCTTCAGTTACCGGCACCGACGGAATTCGCCGCGCGAAATTGGTAATCAATCTCGTCTCTCTTCGGCGGGTGAATTTATCGCCGACCGATTAATACCTTCCCCTTCGCCGCTTCCCCTTTCACAATCGATGACGCGTCCCTTGTATCTCAATTTACTTCAAAGCACGCGTCTCGCATTATTTACTTCCTCGTCGGTGAAGATAAGACGATTCTACATACATATTAAAGCGCGCACAACGGAGAAGATAGGGAATGCATCATGCGCAATTTCCCAAAACGGGAAAGCGCACAGTATTCATGACTGTTTCTTCTCCTCTGCCAACTGAAATTCATCGCAGATTCTGATCCCCGATAAAGCCCGCGGAAGAAGCATATAAATTTATTCGATATGTACTCGACACGATTGTACGTCCCACTAACTCAATTGTTAAGGAACTCGGCTTGATAAAAAAAAAAAAAATTACAGATTGCGTATTATAATGTTGCGTATCTTTGAAGTAATCTCCTACATATCGAACAGTGTGAGGAAGTAAACGTGAGGTAGCAAACACCCCCCTTGTTGGTTCCGCGAGAGGATGTCCCACGACACCACAAAATTTTCGGGAACGAAGACGCGAGAATAGAGAAGTAAATTAAGTAAAGAGAAACTCAAAGAAAGATGAAACGAAAAGAAAGATTTACTAACGGCAATCGCTCGAACCGTGAAGCACCGCTATGCAGATCCACTAATGTCAACGTAACTACAGTTCTATTTCCAGAGTCTCTGGAAAAAGCAATTCCAATCAGATCCATTGTACAATATTGTTGCGAGTATTGTCCGCTCACATATGTCCGTGTTGTACTTGTCACTCTCACACGCGCGTTACTGTAAGTACTGAAAACGAGAAGAGGACGTACGTATTACACCTACAATTTGATTTACCTTTACAATAATAATTCAAGTACTAAGTATACATATATATATATACATATATATGTGTATCTATATACATATATATTTTAATTCGATATACATATATATATATATACGTAAAGGCGGGCGGTAACCTCAGCCCCTCTACCGATTTTTTTTTTTTTTCTACACGGTGGTGAGGCTGAGTGCCGAATGTAAATTCCCAGACCCCCTCGAAAAGGCCTGTAAAAGTCGGTGAGTAGAGCGTCATGCTGATACAATGAGACGATGTCTTAATTGTCGCTTCTTACTAATGATGCCGTTTACGGCAGGTAGGAATGAAGTTTACTTTGAGAATGTGTGTGAGCAAAAAATATATATCATCCTATGGAAGTGTGTGGGTGCAAGAAAATGAAGCAGTGATCTGTAAGTAAGACTTTGCGAATTGCCAAGAACCTCTCACAAGACACGCGCGGTACGGTGGAGAGGCCGCGGAAGAGCCTCGTCTTCCTCGGTTCTCTCCGGTTGTTTCGAAGACGCGAGGTCGGAGGAAACGAGAGTTGGTCCGCGGGTTGGCCGGTCGATGTGCAGCTTCGTGCGGTTTGCGCGCGTTTTCTCTCTGCCGTTTCTCTCTTTTTAACGATTATCGAACTGCGCGGATACGAATACTCGAATAACGAAGCGTGCTTTAAGAGCGAGAAAAGACTCTCTTTTCAACGTGTGTGCCCGAAACGCATCGAGGGAAAGCGAGCCGAGTCCCGCGAGTCCACCGGAGTCTCTCGTTTCGCGCGATTTACCTTTGGCAATTTGCAACGGCCGAAGTGTCGGCAAGAGAATAATTGAGAGGTGGCATGATGCAGAGAGACGTGTGATGATTAGGCGGATTAGCACAACGTTGCCAGTTCCATTAGAAAAATTTCCTCCAACATTGGACGTGTGTACGTATTGAATCCGTATCTTTCTAAAATCCGTTCAGCAGCCAACGTAAGAGAGAATTCGTGCCGTACGTAAATAGCATAATCAAACCATTATAGGCTGTAAGTTCTTTCGTAGAAAAGTGAACATTATGAACTTAAGGTGTGTGCTGATTATAGCTTCATTGCCATCGCATTCTCGTGTCAGGCGGAGAACAGTTGCCACCCTGTAAGTGAAATCAACAAACTATATTATCTGTACAAACTGCATTTCTACTTTATACCACGCGACTACATACTATAGATCGTCTGACAATTGTTGGATCGTTTCAATCGTACGTTTTGTCTAGTCCGTGCAGGAAGACGAACCGACGGTTTTTCCGTTAAAAGCAAAAATATGTCAAATAAGATGAAACGAATAGAAAGAAATAAGGCAGAGTGCCTATTGGGCCGTCTTTTATCCTAAGGGTATACAGGCGTTATGTACAAACTCGAAATTTTTGTAGTGTATGATCTGTCTGTCTTCTCTCTCTCTCTCTCTCTCTCTCTCTCTCTCTCTCTCTCTCTCTCTCCTAGATTATTGATTCAAGCTAACTTCCAGTCGCGGCAACGCGACCGTATGTTATTCTTGTCAAGTAAGAGATCTCGTAAATGCAGAGTTGGGGAGGGTCTAACTAGAATAATTATGATAACAATAATAATAATAATGATACGCGTAGAATCGATAAGGTCCCGCACAAACGAAGGAACGTAATCTAATACGTCTTGATTTGTAAATGTCATAGCGCATGGACCTGGGAGAATGCCCCCAGATTCACGACTTGGCCCTACGGGCTGACTACGAGGCTGCGCAAAAGAAGAAGGATCACTTTTACGACATTGACGTAAGTATCTCTAAAGTTATGATCACATCCAAACTTTCTTTTCCTTCTCCAGGAAAGAGCTTCTCATTGTTTCTTCGGTTGCAAAAGTTTTCGAAGCTACAAACACCCTGACCAACTACTGTTCTAACGCTCGATAAAGAAGACAAGTTGTAGCGCGAAATCTGCTCGTGAAATCTCGGAAATTGACGCAACATTTCTCTGTCTGTCAATCCAGGCGATGGAACACCTCCAGAGCTTTATCGCCGACTGCGATCGTCGTACGGAGCAGGCGAAGCAGCGTCTGGCGGAAACCCAGGAGGAGCTGAGTGCAGAGGTGGCGGCGAAGGCAAACAACGTCCACGTGCTCGCTGAAGAGATCGGTAAGAAACTAGCCAAGGCCGAGCAGCTCGGCGAAGAGGGCTTCGTCGAGGAGTCCATGAAGCTGATGGGCGAGATCGACGAGCTGCGCAAGAAGAAGAACGAGGCTGAGCAGGAGTACAGGAACAGTATGCCGGCGTCGAGTTACCAGCAGCAGAAGTTGAGAGTATGCGAAGTGTGCAGCGCTTACCTTGGCATTCACGATAACGACAGACGATTGGCCGATCATTTCGGCGGCAAGTTGCATCTGGGCTTCATCAAGATCCGCGAGAAGCTCGCTGAACTGCAGAAGACCGTCGAGGAGAGGCGTAAGGAGAAGCGCGAGTCCTTACTTGACAGAAGACGAGACAGGGACAGGGAGGATCGCGACAGAGACCGCGACAGATCGGACAGGAACCGCGGCGGAGGATTGGGCTACAGAGACCGGGACCGCGAGCGCGACCGTGAACGCGACCGAGATCGCGATCGCGACAGAGATCGAGATCGCGAGAGGGAGCGTGAACGGGACCGTGATCGCGACCGAGATCGCAGAGACAGGGACAAGAAAAAGTCGCGATCCCGAAGTCGCAGTCGTGGTAAAAGGTTCGCCTCATCTCTCTTCCGAACTCAAAGATAACGCGAAAGATCTTGCAGTGTCTCCTAATGACTGTTCTCGCGCCGATTTTCGAGTTGCTCGGATTTCACTGTAATGATTTCGATTTATCTTCGAGGCTCCCGCGTCCTCGCTTGTTCGATGACGTCAGAAGCGAGAAAACGCGTAGATATGCCCATAAAATAAGGAACACATTCGTATAATAGTAGGCTAAAAAGGAAAGTTGCATATCGCGTTAATTTTACAGTTATTTATTGACTGTTCGAGCAAAAGAAAAGGAATATTTTGCAAGTATGCTCTCAATCGATCACAAGAGATATCATCTTACGGACGGATCTTTTTGTTTCGATGCATTCCGTAAGAGGCATACGTTTTCTCGCTTCCTGTCACATTAATCGAGATGGCTCGCGACCGTCGCGATTGTTCTCTCCCGTTGCTCCTACAATAATATCGCGTTCTCTTTCAGATCGAAACGTTCACGCAGCGGTAGTCACAGTCGTCGATCTCGTTCCCGTCGCAGCGGATCCAACGATCGCAAGAGATAAGAAAGAAGAAATATAATGATTATGCTCAATCATCTTGTTCCCTTCATTGTCTCTTATATATAATGTCTCCTGTTTCTTTTCCTTCCTTTTCCCTCTTCCCAGCGTTCTACACACGTCTTGTATCCCATAACGTGTAACACCAAATCGTGCACACGAGGCATCTGTGTCGAAACGTCGTTTATAAACAAACGGTTTTCGGTGTTTCACGCCTCGACGTAATCATTGTATATTACACCTAAACCTTAATACCTAAGCGATACTTAGACTTTATTTATATTAGAAACTATTTCTTAAAACTAATGTTAAATTCAATTTAGATATTAATCACCTTACAATGCTACAGTTTGCTTTTAAACTAGTTTTAATCTATCGTGTAAATAAGAGAACAGCTTAAGAGTATATCTCATATTTACGGTTGTTACATATTTATCATTATATGTTCGTATGTAGCGACGATATAATAAATAATACATTTCAGCATACCCGTCTCGTTATTCACCATTCACACGCTTACACACCAAGAAAGCACATAAATATATTTGAGTTTTCTACGTCAATATAAAATTCGTTATTAGAAATTACCAAAATATATTTATTCCAAGTTATTAATTATATTTTTTCCAAGTTAAAATCAATTTCATGCGTATCTTGTCAGTCACTGTTGGCGTGTATAAGCCTGTGCGCGTTTCGGATCCTCGTTTGCGATATCGCATATTCACGTACCTGATATCGCCGAAACGTCACGACGCACCGCAACAGTTAACAGACAGTTGCAGTTGGTTGCATATGAAATCGCCCATTTTTGAGCGAAAGAAAAGATACAGTGGTTTGGTAGCAAATCGACAAACTGGTTTACTCAAAGTATTGCCCATCGGAACAGACAACCTTGGCCCATCTTTCGGCCAACAATCGGATTCCACGTAGGAAGAATTCGGTTTCTTTGGAGGTGATCGATCCAGCCAGTTTTCGACTCCTTCGTACGAGGTGAAGTGCTGTGCCGTAAGCGCTGGCTGCATCGACCGGAACAAATGGTAATTCGAGGGAACGATGTCTGGGGAATATGGCGGGTGGGGTAGGATTTCCCAGTTCACTCCTTCTAAGTACTTCTTGACTGGTTGAGTAACATGCGGCCTGGCGTTGTCGTGCTGCAACTTGTCATGGCGATTCTCCCATTCCGGCCTCTTCTCGTACAGAGCTCGCTTCAAACGGATCAGTTGCAGTCGATCCCCAGTGATGGTTTCCGACGGTTTCAGCAGCTCGTAATACACGTAATACACCCCTCTGATCCCACCAGATACAGAGCATGACCTTACTGGCATGGATGTTTCTCTTTGGCGACGACGGACCCCCGGGACATACCGATGCTGCTTTTCGCCGCTTCGGATTGTCGAAATAGATCCATTTCTCATCTGCAGTCACGATTCGATGGAGAAAACCCTTTCGTTGTTGTCGTTCAAGCAGCAGTTCAACAAATGGTTTTCCGGCGTCCCGTTCCTTCAATATGTGGGGTATCCCAATTTTCTTGCTTGTGCACTCGTCCCAGCGTCTGTAGTCGTCTGGAAATTGTTGATTTGTCCACATTTAACGCTTCGGCCAACTCCACCAACGTTTGACTCGAGTCTTCGTCCAATAATGCGTCCAATTCCGTGTCCTCAAATTTTTTGGGTGGTTTTCCGCGGTCCTTGTTGTCCATAGAGAAGTCACCACTTTGGAAGCGGCGAAACCACTCTTCACACGTTGTACTCGATGGAGCATGCTCGGCATACACTTCCTCTAGCAAACGATGCGTTTCCGCGGGCGATTCCTTTGCCAGGAAATAATTGAGCATAACTTTCCGCAAATGTGTCTTATTTGGAGCAAAACTTGCCATTGCAAACACAATCAAAATAGATGATGTTAACGCGCCGCACAAATGTTACCTATGGCGTTTTGGCGGGACTCTATAGACCCGTCGTCATGTATATCGCCAACTTTCAATTCGAAAAAATAGAGTACCTAACGTAGCCATCTATTGTCAGCGGGCGATCTCAACCACCTAATAATACAGACACTGGTTTGATTTCATCTTTTGCGAGAATCTCTCTATGATCCATCGATTATTTTCGTTTTTACGACTGCAACGATTATATTTTGTGGTCATTGGAAAAATGGATGAATTTCAGCTGAAGGTAAATTGAAATGCTCATCAAGAAGTCAAATTCACTAAAATACCAGAATATTTTATTGATCGCAGCACAATTAAACTTTTTATACAGTTAAATTTTCTCAGGATATATTATATTTCCAACGGACGACATATGCGACTAGAAAAATAATTTACATTGTATGTACAAAAGGTCAAAATCACGATAAAAGTCTTTACAAAAGAAGAAAGAAAATACTGAAGAACCATACACCATATTATGCTAATAGAGTATTATGCTTATTTTTTATATTTTAAGTAATCGCGCGTACTTACAAAATATTTGGTAACGTAGAGTAGAAAAAAGATCTCCGTGTACGAGATGATCTATGGCAGTTGCCAAGTTTTAATCACATTCATTCCACTCCTCATACAGATCTATTCGAATATTTTCAAGTTGGAGAATTTCCTCAAATTCACCAAGTTAACCCAAGTAAAATGCGATTTTAACATACCAAAATATTATACTTCGAAATCGCTCTATAAATACTGTTATCGTACGTATATATTGCATATTCAACTTTTATTACGTATTCAGTAGGCAAGATAATCTTTTGACTTTTGCACACTCGATATGTTAATTTGAAAGTTTTACTACTCTCCGGTGTTACGTAACAATTGGTAGATACACGAGTACCAAATATTCCAAGTACAGACATGAGACGTAATGAGAATTATCTATATGAACAATAACCAATGACAGGAACAAGAATATATTACGATTTTCGCAGTAATGTGTATAGTTGAAACGATAATTGTCAAAGGAAGCTGGTAATATTAAAACAACGGAAAGTAATTATACTTAATATAGACGTTTTTAAATACTAATAGTATAGACGTTTTTTATCAAATTTCCCAGTGAAAGACACGATGTAATAAAACAAAAAGGAAAAAAAAAATACAAAAAAAAATTATCTCCAAAATAAATAATCTATTGTAACTTTGTAAAACCGCCGACCAGCATTTGTGCAAGATGACATGAAATTTCTACGCTCCTGTGATTACATAATTGGCAGCCGCCGTATACACCTAGAGTCATCAAGGCGCAATAATAAAAAGAAGAAATTCGTTAACGAGACAACAGAATGACTAATCTTGATCTTACACTTAACGGTCATTATTGAACAGTCTTAGAAGTTGCATTGAGGTCACTCAAAGAGTTCATTCAGATTCGCCTAGCTTAGAAAAATGAGAGTGACTGCCGTCGTCACTCTTGTGTTTTTATCGTGCGCTCACCCGCCTACTTTAGTTGGTTTGAACGTCGTCGTCGAAATTGACCGCTTCCGTAGCCACTTCTGGAGGAGGTGGGGGAGGCAAAGGATTATTACTGCTTGGTGATATCGACGGTGCTGTTCGTTGTGCTGGTGATTTCGGAAATTTATCGTCCGCTGGTGCTGGACACTCAAAATGAACACAATGAAACACCTGGAAACACGAACGTTGCTCGTTAGATGTTGTGATTATGTTCCGCAATAACGTGTGTAAATAATCAATTTGGCCAGACGTAGAGACCTCGTTTGCAGTATTGTGCGTTCCCACTATGCGTATGTAAACTACTGCACGGGGTGGATTAATATGTATCGTTTGCCAAGATTGACAGGACTCTCTAGTTTTATCGGCAACTACTAACCAGTCCCAGGTATTACCCGCTACCTCTATGTAGTACGAATACGAGCGATTATCGCAATCCCAGAGCAATAATCTGTGGAAACGGTAACAAATAAGTACACTGCGAATTTCGCACGTGCCCATTCCGCACGCAATTATTCAGCGATAGTTGCGTGACTATCTGTGAGAACGTTCGCGCGAGCAATGAATTTTACATCGGGTGATTTTACCCATGAAACGGCTTTTGACGGCATAATATTGAAATTGTACCGCATAGAATTGATCATGTATGGTTGTCCCAATTGCACCAGAATAGCCCCGGAGCCGAGTTGATGACACGTGTAACCACTGTCCCAATCATAATTGGACGTGTCGCCATTCAATAAATTATTACGCGATCTAATTAAACAGATAACGTTCAAGGATAAGCATATGTATATACATAGTGAATATAACGTTGATTTCGTCTATCTACCTGCTGACGCCTTCTATAACGCATGCACTTTTTTCCGTGACAGCGACATTTTGCGTCGGCACAACGAAGCCGTCGCTAAGTTTCTCCGTATGGTTTGTGTAGTACGCTTCAAAATTGACAACGTGAAAGACCTTGCGATCGGAGAAAAAGCATTTCATTAGATATCATATCACTGCGATGAAACGAACGAAAGTAATTATTCAACTCGAAAGACTCACCCTATTTACTGTGTTATTTGTTCCTACAATACGAATATAAAGAACTACTCTCGGTTCAAAATATAAATATTGCCAACTGCGGCAAAAGAAATCTGAATGATCAATCAGCTTGACCCAATCCTTCTGATCCATGGATCCCTTTAATAGAAAGCAAAGTGACAGGATGAAGAGTCCCCGCTCGATATTGCATTACACTTTGTCACATTACAATGTGGCACATCCGTACCTCTATGTAATACGAATAAGATCGCATATCTCTATCCCAGAGCAACATTTTCACATGATTTATAATACACTGCGTTCCCAACTTGATCAAGATTCCCTGTTCGGGCGAATCTGTTATGGTATGCCTTGTGTAACCACGTTCCATATCGTAGTTGATGGTATCTCCGTTCAACAGGTAACTACGCATTTCTCCCTGTAACACCTGTGCTCCGTGCATCGGATGGGCAACATTCTCGTCGACAAGTAAACGACCGCGATACTCGAGTTCCGAATCGCGCGTCTGCGTCCGCGCGGATATCGCGTCTAAAATCGCTTCCGAGGAAACTAATCCGGTTGGCCTCACAACATTCAGGAGATCCGTGATGGAAATTAAACTCAATCTTAGTTGAGCTGTGAAAATACAAATAATTTATATGTAATTACGCCGAATACCGAGGGAAAATGTTTTTTGCTTCATATACGCATAGAAATTACATAAAACTTCGCTTGCGTTAGCATCAGAGTTGGCTTTGACCCACGATTCGACAGCCAAGAAAATATCTATCTCCGGTGCGTAGAAGGAATCTCTGGAGATTAACTTGTTTAAAGCTTCTGGACTTAATTGTAAGAAATTCTCATGTTGAATGACGTCAGATGCATGTTTATCCATATATTCAAGACAAACCTAATAAAATATGTATATGAATGTATTACGAGAATGTGTAATCTTATAGATATCAATTATATATATCAGTTATCTTTCATGTCAGATAATTTAAGAGTTAAAATTCATATGTGTAATACTAACCCTAGTTAGGAATTCCAACTGATATAAAAAAGCAGTGTCAATAATTAAACATACGTTCTTTATGCTAAGTATCTCTCTCAGATAATCAGATATAGCTGCTTCAAGATCTAAAAAACCATACAAATGTGCTAATCCAAGAGTGTCGAGGATTACCTGTAACAAAATAATGAGAACAATTCTTTATATTTATGTCCTCTAGCAATTGAGGTTTAGCTTGAAGGAAACAAACCTCATCGCGTTCATTGGCGAGAGACATACGACCAGTATATATATATTTGAGCAAGCCTTTAAATGCAGGCAATGTGGCACTTGGCAGTTCTATTACGTTTTGTGTAGATTCCCTCATACCACCAAACAGCAGAGCCCGAAAGTACTCGCTACGTGCGGCAAGAATAAGTTTGTGGGTATTGAATTTTTGACCAGCCACTACCAATGTGACGTCTGAATAATCTTCGCTACGATACAGAGCTCCGACGTCCTCGGAGACAAAGTGAATGTGATCTATCTCACCGGATGACGGATTCAAATGGTGATGCGAGCTCATTTTCAGCGGCTGAGCTTGTGCACTCGCACAGAGTCACTTCACTAAAACGAAAAAAGGTTAGATCACTTGTGCTTGCAGCAGCAAAGATCATGAAACTTCACTTTGCTAACGATTTATCGCACAGGGCTATAAATTAACAACATTAAATCGCGACACATTTTACACAAGAACAAGCTCAACAACGTCAAATTTTCTTCCGCCTACAAGATGTGTATACAAAGATACGTGACCTCGCTCGACGAAATTGGCAAGGAACGAACGTGACATGCGTAAATTTTTCAATTTTACACGATATCTCCGTTCGTCGAACAAACTGCGTGTCGTATTCTACTCATCCAGCAGGCATGAAGAAAAAGAATCCTCAATCATTTTCACGTACCCGTTTGTTGTTACGTATCCACACTATCGAATTTTCGAGGAAACTCCTTTGATTACTCCCGGATGAAAGTTTCACACGCGACTTTCAATGCCGCGCCCTCTGTCGTGACGCACACGGCCTACCGATCGCGAAACCCGTCGGTAACGAGCGTCGGTAAAGTCCATCCCACCGACGACGCGTCACTCCCTCTTATTTCTCTTCGATTCTCTTTCAACTTTCCTTCCCCTCTGATTACTCCGTACACACCAGTCTCGTTTGAGTAAATACGAAACTACGGAGGAGGAAAGTCCTTGCGAGTCGGACTCAAAGCCACCCGCGCCATAGAAACGCGCTCGCATTCGGCGACAATGGCGCTCCGTCGCGGCAGTGTCAGCAGCTACGGTTCAAGCAGCGGCAATCGGACGAGATGATTGCTCAGTCGGAGAGGGAACGTTGACCACCGCGCACTGACCCGGCGGAGAAGCAACAGCAGTAGCGAGTGGCGCGAATCCCGTATGCGTAATGCCGGAGCCGCTGCTGAAGCGTTTCCCGCGGCGACGAACGGCCGTCATCGCGGTCGGCTAGAGCTCGAGACGATTGCCCGCGCGTTGTCGGTCGTTGCGAGCGACGCGCTACGGAATCGTCCGAGAGATCGGATAAGCGCGATGCACGGCGCGACGTTGCGGCGCGCGATGCCGAACGCCGTCGCGGCCGGAGCGCTGTTCTGAGAGAGTAGCTTCGCACGAGCTGCCTCTCGCACCTTGCTTACTCTCGCCCGCGGCAGTTCCGCGGAACGGCCAAGTCAGGTGGATCGTCGGACAGGCGGGCGAGCCGGCCGGCTCCACCGGACGAGAAATCGGCACGCGTCGCACCTGAGGACCACGTGAGTGCACGGCCAGGACGCAGTGCGAAACTTGCCCGTCGTCCTCGATATCGGTACGATTGTGTCTTTACTACACACACTTGGCGCAAATTTCGCACTGCGCGGCGCGAGTAGAGAGCGTATAAAATAAATGGAACCGAACGTCACAGCTGCGTACTAATTTTTAAGGACTCTCCGGCGAAATTAACTGCGTACCTCGATGTATGAAATATCAATGAGAAACGGTCGACGTGGTGTGTAAACACCTCGACGAGTGAATTTATAAAATATTCCGCCGGATTTCATTTCCGCCGAGAGGCAAACCTCGCCTCGAATTAGTACCGAAGTGCAAGTTTGATTTTGCCGGAACGTTCTTTTTCTTTTTTTATTCACGAAACCGCCTCGGAGTTCTGGCTTCCGAGTTTGCTAGTTAAACTCGATATTACACTGCGACGAAAGGAGGATATGTATGTATATGAAAGTCGGTTAAACAACAATTTGATAGACGTCAATCGCGCGTGCGGGATGGGAGGAGGGGCGAGAGGTGGATCGCATGTAAATCGCGTAAATAAGAATTCGACGGATATCGATTGACGAGCTTGCGGATACGAGACCGCACGGAAACGGAATATCAATATTTGTTATTTACATGCAAGGTTATTAGCTTGAGTAATCACGGGCGCCGCGTGTCACGGAGATTGCTCGATTATCCTTATGGCGTTTAACAATCGTTAAAGCCGGTATTTTGACCGTAAACAAGTCGTCGGCGAGTCTACGGGCGATGGAAGAAAATCCGGGGCGTGTTGCACGCGTAATGTATATACATCGTCGCGTTCCAGGAACCATCGAGGGGAAATAAGCTCGCGCTTAATTTACATTTTTTTTTTTCCTTCTTTTCTTCTTGCTAAACGCCTCATTAGCCTTGTACTCGTTTGCGCGAGAGAACGGACGTCGCTTGCATAAGCGCGTCGTGCAAATAACACGCGGGCAGATGTCGACGGGTAGGTAGCAGCGTCGCGTGGAAAATAATTAAGCGACGGCGTTTCGTAAGCCCCGTGTAGTAACGAGAGAGCCGGTTTCCGCAGGAAGCTCAACGATTTTACTGGAGCGAATATTAATCCGACGAAATAACACGAGTAACGCATATCACCGTATCGGCGGAGAGTAAGTCAAACGGAAGTTTGATGTAGCGACGTCGATGTATGGAAGGAACTTTATACGGATATAGTTCGCGACGGGAGAACGCGAAAGTTTCGAGAGGAATTTATTCGAGCTGCTCTTTCTCCCTCTCCTTCCCCCCTCTCTCTCTCTCTCTCTTGATACCTTAAAAGGACTCAAATCACGTTCACACTCGAGAATACGGGCTCTTTTATGCGATCAAGCAAAAGAGCATTTCTGGATATCCTAAGTAGTTACGAGTAAGCGGGTCGTTAGCCCCGTTAAAACATTACGTGGAGTTAGCCCCGTTAAAACATTACGCAGTAAACCTCCTACGATCCTTTGAAGGAATCTTCTCGATGCACGACATATACTCGGAACACGTAATCGTCGGTCTGTATCTTTTTGAGGACGTCCCTTGATTTAAGATCGATATATCTATACTTCAGAGAAAAGAATGGGTCAGTTTCTTCGATTTTGAATTGCTAAACAATTCATAGAATTTCCTGACACTTCGAGATGACGCATACTGCGTTAACTACATCAGTATCGACTGATACTCTTTAGTGATTAAAAAGTAAAATTTACAGTCGGAAGTGTCAGATCTCGAAAGTTTACTCTGAGAATACCTACAATTGTGGAAGGTAAAGAGGAGACGGGTATCGATTTCTTTTTCCTCGAGATACAGTGCGCAGATTAGCCGTGTTATTATCGAGATGCCAAATATACCTGCACAAATACGCTTAAAAAATGGTGACGATTATCCTTGACATTTTTCGATCGTCGGGGGTCGCGGTTGCATCAATCTTATATGCACCATCAATACCTCCGAACTAGAACAAGTAATATCGTTCTGCGACTTGGAGGCAGGAAATGTCGTGGGTTCAGATAGAGGACATTTACCCTTCTAACTCCAAGCCGCGGAACGATATCGGCTGTTCCACTTCCCTGATATCGATTTATTCATATTACTCGTTTACTTATCGATGGCGGATGCGCTGATGCACGCGGATTGTTTACATACTTGGGCTCATACTTGGTCAAATTCCGTATTACCTGAAATAGTTTAGTGGCACAGAGAACTTTTGTTCCGATCCGAAATGTAGGACACGCGCAAACCACACATACATACAAAATTACTAACGTAAAGTTTGACTTTTAATTTTTATCAAAAAATATCTTCCAATTAGAATATTTATGGATTTATTTTCCTGCTACTGGGTAGAACAAATATCGAATAATTCCATTTGTGTTATTATTTTTCAATTATATAAAAGTTGAGTGTTTTCGAACGCCGCTGCATTTTTCAGCCGGCTGCATTTTAATTTTGTGGAGAGGATACCGTTTACACTCGCTATACTCGTGAGATAAAGGCACGTCACTCCTTGTCCGATCGCGTCCTCGCGCATTCCCTTCACAGACGTCCTCTCCTTTAAATTCGAGACTGAATGCAGCCGTTTCGCATTACACGTCGAATGGAAGCACTTAACGGATGTATGAAAAGAGGCTCAGTTGTATCTGTATTTGAAATAGGACAGCGAGACAGCGTCCTGAGAGGATATCGAGTGATTTTTCTACGGCGAGAAGGAGGCTCGTGACAGATTTCCTCTTGCCTCTCTCTTTTCTCTCTCTCCTTTTGTCTCTCGCTCTCTCGTCCTTCAAGAGTCTCTGACTATCGAAATTAGATTTGCGGGGGACCATCTTGAGAGTGGCCGATACTTCGCGAAGTGCCAATAAATATGAGGTGTCTTTCCAAATTTAACAGCGAACAATTACGTTCAATTTAATATGGTATTAACGCTTAATACCGCAAAAGTCTAGTATAAAGGTCATTATATGCCACGTAGTGAAATTAGTGTATAAATTAGCGGTCAGCGGTTTAGTGCTCGTATCGGAGCGATACGGTATCTCCGACGTTGGGTTCCCCGGAGGCTCTAATAGCCTACGTTGAACTTCGCTTAAACCAGGCCTTAGTTAACATTATATGCGAATAAAGCGGATAAGAGAGAGAGAGAGAGGGGGGGGGGAGGTCGGTGTTCGAGTGAGTGAGACAGTGAGAAAATGTGAAATTCCACTCAACGTTAACGTTAAGATTGATACGTCACAGGAGCCGGCCCGCATTGTCGAGCCGGATAATCGCATTTTCTAGCGCGCAGATGTCTCGCAGGATATAAATGACACTCTTCCCTCGACAGTCCGGCGATCCTTATTACATAATGACATTAATAACGCCGGTGCATTGTAGTGCGTCAGATCGATCGGTAGGACGATTCCGCGAAGGAATCAGCGAGCGATACAAAGCGATTTAATGAGATTGAACACGATTTCGGTAGGCGATTAATGCCCGATTACATCAGCGTTGATTACCGCTAATCCCGATTAATTCAATTTTTCCTTGTCACACACAACGATAAGTTCATAATCTGAGGGAAAGGTCGAAGGAAAATCTCTTGGGCACTACGTCGTTTTCTCTCTCTCTCTCTCTCTCTCTCTCTCTCTCGTCATAATTAAATCTGAAAATGAAATGTAATATAATTAAAGTCCGCGTGAATTCGCGGAGTTGCTCAAGTTTCTCATCAAAGATGCAATCATCGAAAAGTTTAATGTTCCTGATGAAAGATCGCGACGAAATGTAAGAGGGGTTCTGGACGGACAGTATTTTCCGAATGACTCGGAGATATAAGATCGCATCAGTTTGTTGCGGTTTTATAAACGATGAAGACACCAAGCCGATGATACGGACGCAACGAGAAGCGACGAGAGGGATGAAAGAGGCGTTATATCTCGGGGCGAGATATCGCCCGGCTCGCGTTCTGAATGCTACGCGATCGGATGGCGAGGCAATATTCGCGAGCGCTATCGTTATAGAACGAATTCGCCGAATCGGATTCGAAGCCGACACCTGCGATTGTTATCCCCGTTGTATCCGTCGGCAGGAATTCCAAAGAGTACGCCAAGAGGTGCATCACGCTCCAGCTGGCTCGGGGCGCGCGATGACGTCTTTCTGGTACACGTGTTGCGCGTAAAAAAAAAAAAAGCCAGGAAAAAGAAGAGAACGGCATCACGCTCCGCGGCACGAAAAGATTTTCCGCGCGAAACGCGGGCATTGATAATGGAAAATTCCACAGCAGGGTACGCTTGAAATTCGGGAAGGGCGCAGGAATTAACGTTCGGTCGAGTGAAATGCGATGTAAAATCAATTATTCGTAAAAAAGAGAGCGAATAGCTTCGAAAGGAAAAATTATACGCTCGACGTACATATGTGTGTATATATTTGAGATAAAAATAATAATGATAATTTCGGAACATTTCATATTCTAACGCTGTCGCTCATTGTAGTGATATTGTAATTAGCGGTCGTGAAATCGCAGTGTAGTCCCGATAACTCTCGAACGAACCAACAATCGAAAGTTCAAACTGAGTCGAGTTTAGGTATCGCCTGGATCCGAGTTGAGGATCCTCTCGGTCCGAACCAGAGAGAGGGAGTCGAGTCATTCTAGGTCGGTCGTAGGTCAGGCCGAGTTAGATTAATTGAGGTAGCTGGACGTTCCATTCGTTTCGTCAATTATTTTGCGCAGCCTCCGGTCCAGGTGACCCAAGGGGGCGACTTATTAAATTTTCACCCTTCGCCGCATAGCCCCGGCGTATTCTTCGAACTTTATTATCCAGCAGCCGACGCGCTATACACAATTTCTCCGGCAACGCGAAAGTACTGAATTGGACGACGACAGCGTCTTCCTCCGAGTCGTCTTCTAATCCGTCCGGTACGTCTTATTAACCGTAGTTCCTATTCCCAGCTCGCTGCTCCTTGATACCTGCGAGTAAGCAAGTGAGCAATCCTTTTCTTCCTCAGTTACAACGAT